AAATGCACTGCAAAAACCATCTAAAAATGAGAAAAAAATGCCTTAAATTAAGTGTATTTACCATTAATTTGAGTAAGTAAATGGGATAATTTGCCAATGTAATGAGTATTTTTAGTCTAAAAATAAGATAATTAGATAATATGCACTTGAAATAAGACAATGCAATTGTGTTTTCTTATTTTAAATGTCAGTTGTCTTGTTCCATTGGCAAAGTGTCTCAATTACCTCCTCAATTCAAGAGAAAAATTACTTATTGCAAGAAAAAATGACTTATGTAGATTTTAATTTTTTGCAGTATGGAAACTGTGTTCAAGCCAATATGACATGTTTGCAATGAATGACACAGTAATGATTAGAAATTGATAGTAGCCTAAGGTGACATAGGTGCACTAAGGAACGTTGTCACAGATCCTTCCTCCCTCCAGGACCTGGGGTCTGTTCTGAGCAGGTTTAATGGGGGCTATATTCATTTATCCATCTTACCATTAGAGTTGGATATAAAGGACTCTATAGAGGACAGAATTTCTAGGTGCAGCCAGGGACCGGAGGGTGTCCGGTTTGGGAACCTCAGGATATTGTCTCTGCTGTTTGCAGATGATGTTGTCCTGTTGGCCTCATCAAACCAGGACCTCCAACGTCCACTGGGGGCAGTTTGCAGCCATTGAAGCGACTGGGATGAGGATTGGCACCTCCAAAGGTGGACTCCCCTCTTCCGGTCAGTGGACAGTCCTTATCTCAAGTGGAGGAGTTCAGGTACCTTGTTCACGAGTGACGGACGGATGGAGCGTGAGATCGATAGACGGATGGGTGCGGCGTCTGCAGTGATGCGGTCGCTGTATCGGACTGTCGTGGGAGCTGAATCAGGGGGGCAAAGCTCTCGATTTCCTGATTGATCTACGTCCCCCCCCCCCCGACCTATGGTCATGACATGGGGGTAATGACCGAAAGGACAAGATCGCCAATACAAGCGGGTGAAATGAGTTTCCTTCGCAGGGTGGCTGGGCGCACCCTTCCAGATCGGGTGAGGAGCTCAGCTACCCGGGAGGAGCCGGAGTAGAGTCTCTGCTCCTCCACGTCAAAAGGAGCCAGGTGAGGAGGCTCGGGCATCTGTTCCTGATGCCTCCTGGTCGCCTCCATCAGGAGGTGTTCCAGACATGTCCCATTGGGAGGAGGCCTGGTGGAAGGACCAGGACACCCTGGGGGGACTATGTCTCTGAGCTGGCCTGTTGTCGCCTCAGGGATCTTTGCCTAGACCGCTGCCTCTGTGACCCGGCCCCGGATAAAGAGGAAGAGAAGGATAGATGGATGGAAAAAGGACTCTGCCTGATAAGCATCTACACTATATTTCCCTTTTTGTGATGTTTTTATTCGGTTTGGCTCTTTAAGAAGGTGATGGTTCATTTTTTTGAGTTTTCCGGAACAGTTTTCAGTTTTAATTGATTGTTTCTTTCTTCCATCTCCATTGACCTAATAAACATTTACATCTGAAGCAGTTTCTTTGAACCATGTGGTATTCTCTGAGCTTTAATTAAAAGAGCACTTTTATTCCTCATATAGCAGAAAACTGTTTTCTAGAATTAAACACCAAATTAGGTGAATTTAGGTCTGTGATTATTTTTCAATGACTCGCAGCCTGGAATTGAAACTATTTCATTTTATTCCTCATTGGTGATTATATGTTATAGCGCGTCTATCTGAATGTAGAAATATAAATTAAACATTTATTACAGGTAACTTTGACCTTTGCTTTTCATCTCTGAGATTATTAACTATCAGTCCTCATGTTTATCAAATTAAAGCCATATAATGAGGGGATTGTTGAAGTTGCAAACATTTGTTTTCTACTTTGTTCATTTACAGGGTGAATAACTTAAGCCAATAATAAGTTATTTATCTGCATTTAATGCATATAAATATTCACTGCATGATTCTGCAGGAATGTTTAGCAACTTATTTAATGAGATATTAAGCAATACAAGTATAGATAAATAGTTTATTCCTGCAGCTGTCACCACATACAAGGAAGCCATGATGGAGGTTAGATCTCTGCATTTTGGGAGGATTAAGATTTGCTTAATTTTTCTCCTTTTAAAATTCTGACAGGTCCACATTAACCCTTTAAAGGACAAGATGGCATTTTGATCGTGTGCATCCCCTTTACAAATGGATTCCCCTCGTCCCTCAGTGCGTTCTAGAAGCACAAGATCTATATCCAGCCGTTCAGCAAAGATCCTGCTGATTACTGTACATCTTATTTTAGCACTTAACCAATTAGATTAATGACATATTAGCTACTGTAAATTAAGTTGGAAAAAGTCAAGAAAAAAGGTAAAAAGCGAAATGAAAAGTTAAAAAGTAAATTTAAAAAGTTAATAATCCTAGTTAGTGATTATTTTTAGGTGCATAAACTAGAAAATGTAAGTGCCATTATCAGCATTAATGGCTCTTAGGCAGGCGTCCCCAAAGGGCCGCTGTCCTGCAGGTTTTAGAGGTTTCTCTGCTTTAGCACAGCTGATTCTGATGATTGCAGTTCAACAAAAGCCTGTTAATCAGCCATCGATGTAAATCAGCTGCTGGAGCAGGAAACCTGTAAAACCTGCAGGACATCGGCCTTTCAGGACCCACTGTGGAGATGCCTGCTCTAACGTTATTTTGTACCAAACAAAATGTGTTTCTTTCACTCTTAAAGTGTTTTTGATGAATTTCCTATATTTTTCTTAATATATTTGTTTCTTGTTATTACATTTAAATACATTTTTGCTCTCAAAATATCCGTATTTCTTGAATGTTCCAAAGGTAATAAAGTCTTGTCCTGGATTCCAATAACACTATTGGTTGGGAATTTGGATTTTCAAAGTTTTTCACTGATGGAGGGTTAATTATCACATCACTGAGCCTTCCTTTACATTCCTATACAACAGTTTATCTTTTTATTTAAACGAAGCTTTAAAACTTTTATTCCAATGGTGAACAGAAGCTAAGCTACATGGACGCTATGAGGTTGTAAAACTTTTATCAACTGCTTGAAAGACCTCTGTACGTCCAAGGCTGATAGTCTGGGAGGAAGTGTCTCCTGGAGGCAGGAGTGGCTTTCCTTCTACGGGCCCAACCTGTTTTACCTCCAGGAGCAACGACCTTCAACAATAGAGGCATTTATGTAAAGTCTGGACTGAGGTTAAGGTGCAGGCAGGTGAAAAAATGGGACTCCACCATTTGCATGCAGTATGTATTATTTTCCCCTGACAGCGCGCCGGTCTTTAAACCTGAAGTCCAGGTTGATAAATGATCTCTGCACTGGAAAAAAAACAAAATCTAGATAAGTAATTTTTTCTTAAAATAAGTGCATTTCTTCTTAAATTGAGGAGATTAAAGAGACACTTTGCCAACGGAACAAGACAATTTAGATTTAAAATAAGAAAACACAATTGCATCTTCCTATTTCAAGTGCATTTCATCTAATTATCTTATTCTAAGGGTAAAAATACTCATTCCATTGGCATATTATCAAATTTACCTATTCAAATCAAGTGTAAATGCACTTAATTTAAGAAATGTTTACTTATTTCTAGATCATTTTTGCAGTGTGCAGGTTTGAAAATCAGTTTAAATCCTGACCTGATTGAGTTCCTGGTTTTTTATGGTAAATATTCTGTTCTGACAGCTGAATTTGTTAATTTTTTATTTTAATTGTATTAATTGCAGCTAAGACCAAGACAGAGGCAAGTAGGAGGTGTTCTAGGTTTCCTGCAGGTCAAAAGACCCAGAGGACCAACTTTTTATTGTAAGTTTAAATTTCTGCAACATAAAGCAAAACTGTTTCTTTCAATAAAAAACCTACTGAACTTTTTAACCCATCTGATCATTTCCACTTTGGTCGGAAAATTTCGATTTCTCTTATTTCATATATTATTTATCCTCTTCACTCACTATAAAAGTTTTCACTCAGCCTGTTTCTCTGTGTGAGGACGTTTGTAGACCAGACATACTGTAGCTTCTTCCCAAAACAACCAGATTCTTAATCAAGGTTTATTTTATAACATGTTGCTGTTTAACCAAAGTGTCTGTAATTTGTTTTGACTCTGACTACTTTCCATTATTGGAAGTAAAGTTAACAAACTCTGCTCAGGCAGAACGGGGCTGATTACAGAGCAGTAATGATGAACTGTTCTCTCTTTGCAAAGATATGAAAATAAAATGCCAACTGAGTGAAATCCATTGATCTGCATTTATTTAACTAAAGTGAATAGTTGAATACTTTTTTTCCCACCACACAGACGTAACTAGGAGGTGTTCTAGGTTTCCTGCAGACCAACTTTTTATTGCAAACTAAAATTTCTGCAACATAAATCCAAACAATTTCTTTCATGAAAAAGTTTTACTGAACTTTTTAAACCCATCTGATTATTTCCATCTAAAAAGACCAAAATTCTGCTATTGATGAACTTCCATATACGTTTTTTGTTTTCTTTTTTATTTTAATTGAAGTTTTTCTTTCAGCTAAGCAGCAATAAAGCAGTGTATAAACTAGATATCTAGAATTACTAAAATAAAGATGTCAGACAGTTTAACCCTTAATAGTGCAAGTCAGCGTTTTTGATTCCTTGCATCCCCCTTATAAACGGATTCCCCCCGTCCCTCAGTGAGGTCTAGAAGCACTAGATCTATATCCAGCCGTTCAGCAAAGATCCTGCTACATGGCTGTACATCTGATTTTAGCATTTGACCAATTAGATTAATGACATATTACCTACTGTAAATTAAGTTGGAAAAAATTTACAAGTCAAGAAAAAGGGTAAAAAGCGAATTGAAAAGTTAAAAAGTAAAGTTAAAAAGTTAATAAGCCTAGTTAACAATTATATTTAGGTTTATAATTGGCTGGAAATTTGGATTTTGAAAACTTTTCACTGAGTCGCCTATAAAGCTTTAGATGCTTTTCTGCAGCCTGAGGATCCTGATTGTTCAACCTTGTGATTTTTTCTGGATATTTTTCTTAAACTCACCACATTTGGGGTAAGCCACCAGCATGATGTCATCCTCCCTGGCTTTAATGTCAACCAGACACTTTAAATGCTCCTCAGGACACATGAGGATGGGGTACAACACCCCATTGAATCTGTACAGCTTGTCCTCCTCACTCATTGCCTTTGCCTTCTCCATCCTGGCCTGGATCTTGGCAGCGTGGGGGTTATTGTCCATTCTCCTCAAACTGTTAATGCACCGATTAAAACAAAAAATAATCACAGCAGCAGCTGCAAGCTCTAAAAACCAGAGAGTTAGAAAGCAACAGGAAGAGCTGCTGTTTGCTCAGTAATGACTGACCAGGAAAAGAGGAGGTGGCTCTGGTAGTAAAAAGGAGGAGGAGACTGGAAGCACCTCCTCTCTGCACGCACATGCAGCAAAGCCTGTTGATTCACAGAGGAGGGGTTGGTGGGAGATCCCTGCTGAATGTTTACCCATAAACAATCCTCCCTTTATTGGCCTCAGTCGTTCTGACGGGTCACAGAGAGTCCTCATGTCTCTGTGGAGCTCAGAGCCTGACATCAGGAGGAATCCATTGTAGGAATCCTGAAGTGAAACTTTGCTCACTTCCTGCTGCCTCTGACCCAGATAGTGAAACAGGAAACCAGTCTGAGGAATGTTCTAGAGCTCAGCTACAGACAGACTGATATAATGTTACTGATAAAGAACTGGAAAAATGGTTTTTAGCTTAAACAATGTAAACGGTAACACTGCTATAGCATCCATCCATCATCCATCCATCCATCCATCCATCCATC